ATCAGGGGGTTTGGGCGCTGCCCCCTGTCACGCTGACCCTGGTGCTGGGAGGCATATTACCCTTTTACTATATAGGGTAGAGGCCTGGTGCATGGGTGGGGCCGGCTGGTTTGCCCTGAAGGGTGTCTTGGATCAGGGTGGGGGTCCCCACTGGGGTGCCTGGCCAGTCTGGGTGAGGGGCTGAGGGCTGTTTTCAGGCTGGGAGTGACTGAAGTTCCCAACCGCTCCTTTTTTTCTTTTTTTTTTTTTATTCTGGGCCAGCTTTAGCTTGAGGCTCTGGCTCCAGCTCTTAGGCCTCCGAGGCTGAAAGTAGGTTTCTGGCCTTTGCTTACAATGTTGCGAATCTGCTGGCTGAAGTCTGGCGGTATTTGTTACAATGTTTCTTAAACTGCCCACTCAGAGGCCTGCAGCCGCAGGCGGGAAATGTTGGTTTCCTCCAACAATCCTCCATCACTGAGGCAAGCAAGCCTCATGTTAGTTTTAAGCTGCCTGGCTGCCGGCTGCCATCTTGGCTGACAGTTAATTTGCATATCTCGCTGATTAGCCAATGAAAAGGGTAGCGGTCGTACGGCAATTACCATGTTTCTCTTTTATTAGTGTAGATATATACACTCACACTCACACTCACACACACACACACACACACACACACCTCAGTAGAACAGACTAATTTGGGTGAGGGAGTGTCTGTTAAAGCCGAAAATTTGTTCTATAATAAAGTAAGTTTTCCGAATATGTGTATAAAAATAATTGATAAATTTGTTATTTAAGTGTTTTTACTTATGTAGGGACATTTGTGTAATTATTAAGTATGTATGGAAAGTTTAATTTCATAGAAAATTTGACAATTTCATATGTTTCAAATAAAAGAAGAAATAATTACATATAATATATATATAGGATGTGGCCTGAATCTTCCTCTCACAGGTGTGCCACCCACACTGTTTTGGAGCCCACGAGATGGAAGGGACTTCCCTGAGGTTAGAGTTTCCGTGGAAGAGGCAAGTGACTAGAGCAGTGTGTACAATCTATACTAATGAAAGGGTAATATGCTAATTAGACCGGGTTGACCTGCCATCTTCTGGATGTCTGACTTCCTTCCGGACAAAGCCATGGTGGTGAGGGCCAAAGCAGAGGGAGTTAAGGGCGATTAGGCTGGCAGGCAGAGGGGTTAGGGGCAATCAGGCAGGCAGAGGCAGTTAGGAGCAATCAGGCAGGCAGGCAGAGGGGTTAGGGGTGATCAGGCAGGCAGGCAGGTGAGCCGTTAGGAGCCAGTGCTCCCAGATTGTGAGAGGGATGTCCAACTGCCAGTTTATCGGCCTAAACCGGCAGGCGGACTTCCCCCAAGGGGTCCCTGATTGGAGAGCGTGCAGACTGGGCTAAGGGACCTCCACCAACCCCCCCCCCCCCCCCCGTGCATGAATTTCATGCACTGAGCCACTAGTAGCATCATAATGACAAAGTGCTGCCTGCACGTGGGAACCACAGTGAACAAAGTTGGAGGGCTGGTTAGGGGGTGTGTCAGCGTGAGAGTGGGCCTGTGAGGGTAAATCTCCACCTGAAGCCAGACATCAGACATCGCTGTTTTTATCACCTGCCGTGTTTCTCACCACCAGAGCTACGGAGGATTACCAGTTGGCTGTTCACAGTTTGTAATCTTGCAGCCACAGAAACTCAAGTGTCTTTGATCAGATTATTCTCATGCCCTCACATGTGTGCTTGAAGGCCATCTCATCACATCCAGAGAGCTCAGGTTCCCATAAATTTGCCTCCTTGATGTATGTTTTTATGTCCGTGTTTTTTGTTTTTTTTTAAACTGGGGTGGCGGCCTACTGGTGAGTTGTGAAATTAAGTTATTGGGCCAAAACTAGTATTTTAACACAAGTGATTAAAACAGAGGAGACGATGTGAGCGTGCTTTGTGCAGAGCAAGGGTAGCATGCATCACGAGAGTCCTGTTTTAGTTTTATACGTGTGTGTTTCCGTGTGTACATGCGCGTTTGCTCGGCTGAGATGCAAAATGTATTTCTCTCTCTGGTTTGAGGAAAACAGTGGGGAGCTGCATTTCTCGCATTCGGGTTAAGGCAGGTGACTGTTCCCTCTTAGCAGCGAGGATCTCACGTCAGAGTTCTGCTTCCCGTTGGGAATATTCAAAGCTGCCAGTCCGTTAAGGCCTGTGTCAGAGCAGAGCGGAGCGGAGCCCTGCACGGCCCTGGTGCTCTGAATGGCTGTGAGTCCGTGCGTCTTCTAAACTCTCCCGTTCGGCGACGCCAAGCACAGGGCGGGTTCCTTCTCGAACCAGCTCCTTACAGCAAACTCCATCCAGGCAGGCAGCCGGACACCAGCTGGTGAGTGCACATCTTTCTCACATGGTAGCATCAGCCTCTGTACCCACAGCTGTTATCCGAGCAGCCACACGCTGCCCCCTAAACAAACCACCTTACATTGTAGTGGTACCTGAGCTCCCTGGCTCCCGTCTCCCCTGCCCCGCACACGGGCTGGGTAACAGGGCAGCTGTCCCTGAGCTCTCTGTGAGCTCCTAGCCTTACATTCCCAGCTCTCAGCTCCGTCTCAGCTCTCCTGTCTCCTGCACACACAGGAGCTACCTTCTCTGTGTCCCTGCTGCCTCTCCCTCTCTGAGCTCTCTCTAGCCCTGCTCAGCGGCTCTCTCTAGCAGACTTCTTCACACACACTTGGTCAGCATCCCGAATATTATTTCCGAGTTACAGAAGGCTGGCTGCCAACAGTGGCATCAGGCGTTCGGGTTACAGAAGGGCACAGTATACCGTGTGCCCTTGCACCTGCTCTTGGTATCTTGGCCTGATTCGGATTCCCAGGCTCAGAGGCTGGTAAGGGCTCCCGGGCTCAGGGCGGCCTTGAGCAGCTGGTGCACTCTGAACAGCGTCCCCCCAGCATGGCTTTGGGTTTCCTTCCTCTGCAGTCTTTTGCGGAACTGATGGATTCACTGTTTTCCCTCCTAATTCGCACTGACCATCCTGGGTAGACCAGCTGCACTGGAAAGTGTGTGCACGTATGGTCACCTGCAATGGTGGTTAAAGGCTGAGCACGTGACCGAGGGGAGGGCACAGTTGCACCACGTGGGTTAATACCAAACCCTCACACTTATTACCAGAACACTCCTCTAGTTCAGCCTGTCGTCCTGAGTGGCTTCATCCTCAGTGTCGCATTTCAGTGCCACGGTCACTTGCTGAGTGACCGCCGTGAGCAGGCCCCGGGCGGGCGGGGGGGTGGCCTGGGGACGGCACAGCGCCTGAGCCCTCCACTGGGGACAGGCCGCTGCCCCCAGTCCCGGCTCTGACCGCTGCGAGGTGACTGCCTGTGGTAAGGAGTGATGGAAGCCCTTGGCGTCCGGTTTCCTTCCTTGTGGCCTGGGACGTTCTCACAGAGGCCTGGCTGGCGTGTGGCACATAGCGGTTCAGTAAGCGCCAGCTTCCCTCCCGGTACAGCTCTTCTTAACCGCCCCTCCGGCCGGGTGAGGTCCCCGGGCAGGCGAGAACGATCCCCTGTTACAGAAGCGCCTTTGGGGCTGTGCCCGCCGAGGGGCGAGGCTGCATGTCCAGCGTCCGTCTGGGGCCGCCCGTGACGCCCGGAGGCTCCCAGCCTCTCTGCGCTGCTCCTCGCACCCCGGACCCGGCCCGCCTGCTGCGATGAGGAGCCGTGTCGCTGTTCGTGGACCCTGTGCTGGGCTCGGGCCCTTTGCTTCGCCTGTAGCATGAGGGCTGGTCAGCTGTTGGGCCCCTTTAAGCCTTAACAGTCTGCTCTCCCCAGGGCTGGCCTTCCTGCTGTTCGTTCAGCCATTTGTCTTCCTGGAAACATTGCTTTGGTGCTTATTTCCCCCGACGCTGCTCGCCACATGTTCCCCTGGAGAGTTGGGTGGCTGCTTCGTCCTCCAGCCCCGCGGGAAGGGAAGGTCCTGCTGGAGACCAGGCGCAGGGGCGGGAGGGCGCCCGGGCTGTTTCCGTCGGCACACATCTCTACCGCACGTCCGGCAGCAGATCCCCCCCACCCCCGCCCCCATCGCCATCCCTGCTTCTTCCCTTCGAGAGAAAAGGGCCACTACCTGTCGGCCTGCCTCCCAGGTCCCCCACGGCCCTCTGCAGCCGCTCCTGGTGCCCCAGGCTCTCACCCGGCGCTGGTCACAGTGCAGCCCCGGGCCCCCCTCCCAGAGCCTGCGATTAAGGAGCCCAGGACCCTGGTGCTGAGATCCCCACGCAGTGGGGCTGCAGGCGGGACCCTCACCCAGGGCGGCTGCGGGCGGGACCCTCACCCAGGGGGCCTGCAGGCGGACACTGGGGACCCTCACCCAGGTGGGCTGCAGGCAGGCACCGGCATCTTCACCTATGGGGAGCTGCAGGCAGGACCCTCACCCAGAGGGGCTGCGGGCGGGGCCCTCACCCAGGGGGCCTTCAGGCGGACACTGGGGACCCTCGCCCAGGGGGGCTGCGGGCGGGACCCTCACCCGGGGGGGCTCCAGGCGGGCATCTGGTTCCTAGTTTCCGCTGTGCCCTTGCCTGTTTGAAGGTTGGCAGGAGAATTTAAACTTTATTTGTGAAGTCTTCCTCCGAGCGTGGGAAGCCTGCTTCTCCCTTCGTCATAGCTGGGCTGGGTGTGTGATTTTTATGGGAACCAGGTGATTTCGGCCTGGTGGGCTTGTCTCTCACGCCAGGCGGAACCCAGGGCTCCTCGTTCCCGGACCACTCGCCGGAGGCAGGGCCTCACCCTCCTGGGGGTGTGAATGTTACGACGCAGTTTAACCCTTTGAGCTTGGCCCCTATATCTTGGACTCAGGATCTGAGGCTGAGAACAGATGAAGTTGGATTTTTAATGTTCTGTGTTGTATAAATCAGTTAATATTTTAAATGTGTCTCCATCGTGGGGCATGAAGTTGCAGAGGAAAACATTTCTTCCCTAAGGGGAATGATAGCTTATTTTAAGGAACTGGCTGTTGCACTAATGCCTGTCCCATGTAACCCGCTGCAGGGCGAGAAGTTCGGGCCGTTCGCCGGGGAGAAGAGGAGGCCGGAGGAGCTGGACGAGCACATGGACTACAGGCTCATGTGGGAGGTGAGGGCGGGCGCTGCTTTAAACCTTTAAAGTGTGTGTCTCTTTACACTCTGAGTGCATTTACAATACATGTTGGTTCCAGGGGACTCTCTAAGTATTGCAATGTTACAATTTTAAGGAAGCGGAGGAACTTGAAGGTTCAGCATTTGAAGAAAAGTACAGTTGACATACCTCCCTAGACAATTCTAGAACTCTGAAGTTTATGTAGCTCCTCCCTGGAAAAGGAATTTCCCAGCATAAGGGTGTTTGGGTGTCAAAATAAGCCCTCGCTGGGACCGGATTTAGATTTGAGATTCGCTTTCTGTCCGTGGAATTACATTTCCTTTACCTTTACTTCCCAGCTGCAGGCCTAGTGGCTTAGAGACCAACTCTGAGCTCCACGTTGGAATGAAAATACCACCTTAAAACGTACCGTCCGTCCTTGCCCTGACTGGTTGGGCTCAGTGGACAGAGCATCGGGCCAAGGACAGAAAGGTCCTGGGTTCGATTCCAGTCAAGGGCATGTTCCTTGGTTACAGGCTTGATCCCTGGTAGGCGGTGTACAGGAGGCAGCTGATCAATGTTTCTAACTCTCTATCCCTCTCCCTTACTCTCTGTAAAAAATCAACAAAAATATATTTAAAAAAAAACCCAAAAAAACGTACCTTCCTTTGATAACATGACACTTGCATCTGTCTCAACACGAGGACATTAGGATGAAACTGCACTTTCACCAGGTGCTGCTCTTTCCTCCTCCTCAGAGGTGTGGTCCTGTGAGGGTCCAGCAGTCAGGCTGTGGGCATTTCAGAAGCTTGGCGTTCATTGATTTTTCTAGATCTTCCCCTTGAGGGTTGCTGAGGAAAGCTGTGTTTGACCCCTGAGGCTGTGGAGTTAGCAGGGCAGTCAGGCATTACTGTGAAATGCAGAATTTCTGCGCATTAGAGCTTTACTTATGTTTGCCAGCAGAAAAGATTTTGTGTCTCTGGCTAAATAACATATTTTCAAAAATATAGCTACCACAATACATGATTACAAGCTTTGCAGGTGTTTTTGTAAGAACTGTTAACCTCCTAGCATTATAGTAAATTATTATTTCAAAATAAATGGATATACCAGACGCACTGAGGCCCCTTATGTAATTGGGCTTTAAAAACAATGAATATAGATTTTGGGGGGAACTTCCTTCCCAACCCACCATCTCCACTTCACTTACACACGGGGGTGTCTTCTAATTAGGAACTCCCCTCTCCTTGCTTCGAACCAGGTGGGAGCCGGGTGGAGCCTGAAGTGTCTGCCTCATTAACAGCCTGGCAGGAACCCTTTGTTCACGGCCCCAGAAAAGCGGGACCTAGGATCCCGGTGACAGGGACCCTAGGCTTGATGTGGCCTTTATACTCTGCTTCCTAAATCTCGACCTTTGTCCCCCGTGTGGCAGGAGTTGGGCCTGCAAGGTAGAATCTGAATGTGTGTGTCCATCAGCTGCATGGAGGGCGCCAGGGAGCCTGGACAGGGGCAGGGTCCAGCCCGCGGAGAGGCTCACCTTCGAGGTGGCAGGGAGGCGGGCACAGGACAGTGGCTGGCAGAGTTTCAACACCGAGCTGAAAAGGAGCTGGAAGGGGTGGGACCCGAAGGACATCACTCTAATTCCTTGCGCTTAGAGGAGAAAGTGGGGGCACAGAGAGAGAGGCGGGAGTTCTTGACCGAGAACACGAACATGGAGGATTCGAGCTTCTTTGCTCATCTTGAGAGATGAGGCTGCTGCTTGGAATTCCTTCCGAAGCCAAACCAGGCCTGGGGAGTGAGGCGTGGCTGCAGACGGGGGATTAGAGTTGTGCTTTGGGTGGATTCTAACACGTATGTGAGAAGCCCAGGGCCAGGAATTACGGAGGTGGCTTTGAAGCGGGAGGTAGGACCGGAGGGCTTATCCTGCCAGATATCAGGGCTCCTTATAAACGGATCCTGGGTGGATTCTAGCTTAACCCTTCGGTATGGGCACGGGGAGAGGCAGGTAGTTGCTTTTGGCAAAGATGCCCTTAGCACCGTGGTGGGGAGAGGAGGCGCTGACAGTGGCAGGGTTGGCTGAGGACGCTACCCTGCGGCTGAAATGCATCCTGGCCCCTGACTCACAGCGTGTGTAGAAAATCCACGTAAGGCCACTGCAGAGGGAAGCACGCCAGGTAGACACAGTACACCTTCGGAAGGAAGTCAGGGCCCTTCATGACCGCAGAGCAGGCGGAGGTCCTTAACTCGGAAGCAGTAGCAGTGTAAGGGGAGATAGGCCACTTGGAGGCTAGTCAAGTGAGGAACTGGGGATCGGAGGGCACAACGACGAGAACGAAGCAGCAGGGAAAGGGGTGGGGGGAAGAGCCTTCGAAGGCATTTGTCTGCCAAAGTATTTGTGTCCAGAATATATTAAGAAACTACAAACTGATTTCAAGATAAAAAAAACGGGCAAAACACTTGAACAGGCACGTCACACAAGAAGATGCCCAAATGGCCAGTGCACCGGGGAGATGGCCAAGTTCATTGCCCTCTGGGAATCACAAACCAGCAGCAGGAGGGAGTCACTGAGCGCATTTCATCTGGAGCCGGGGGGAGGTGGTTGGTGCGGACAGAGGTGGTGGGTGCGGAGGTGGTGGGTGCGTGCCTGGAGGGGAGCCCTGTGTCTCGGTGCGGAGAGAGGCCCAGGAGGCAGGGGTCTGCAGGACGCCCGGCAGGGCGGGGCTGTTCTGTGGTCCAGGAGTGGTTGGGTGGTGGCTGGCTCGGCCTTCGCAGTGGGGCTGGTGAGAAGTGGCCGGCTTCTGGCTGTAAGTTGTTGGCGGTAACTCACACCCACGGGGCTTGCTGATACGTGGTGTGTTGAGAGAGAAAAGTCTAGAATGACTTTGAAATGTTTGGCCTGAGCCACCTGGGTGGCAGGTGGTGACACACCTGAGGTAGGGCATTTGGGGGAGCGAGGGGAGGGGTGGGACGATGGGGTGGGTGCTGAGCTGGGAACTTGTGAGGAGAGGGCGTTACGCTAATCTTCATTGCGAGGTGTCTACAACATAAACTTGGATGAAAGTGCAGTTTGCACTTTAAAAACTCGGTGTTCAAGAAACATATTGATGACATGTATGCTATTTTCAGCACCTTTGCTGGGAAAATGTAAAATGTGAAGGTTGCAGAAGGAAATGGCTTATGGCTTCCCCGAGCATTACTCCCCTGGGGTTTCCTGCTCTGCACAGGTTTCTTTGCCCTGAAGACGGTGATTGACTGAAGGCGGGTTTTCCGAGAAGCCGGAGGGCTGGCTATTAAAGCGGACGTTTTGTTTAGATGTTCTCTCTCTCTTCGCAGTGGTTCTGCGCTCACAGCTGGCCTGCTGCTGGGGCACTTGATTCAGCACCAGGTTTCCAATGTGCTTTCGTTTTGGGGGGAAATGTTTTCAATTGTTTAAAATCTTTTATTTTCCTTGATTGTTTATGGAAGTCTTTTTAGGTGTTTGGAACAAAGAATTGTCTTCCCCAAATGTTTTTCTTTTGCAGACGATAGCTTTTTGTTTTAGGTTCCAAATGGAACCACTTAGACACCCGTGGGCAGATGCCACCCAGGAAGCCCGGTGGAATGCTGGGAACCCCCAAACCAGCGCCGCGGCCGTCGCCCCTGGTCCGCTCCTCGGGGGGGAGGCCAGCAGTGGGTGTGGCGTGTCCTCCAGAAGTTCTGCCTGGGCTTTGTGGCTGCCTGTTCTGCTTTGCACAGGAGGGCTCCTCGCTCAGCATGCCAGCCAACTCCTGGTCAATCCTCCAAACCCGACCTAGGATTAGGAGAGGCCTGGAATCCAGGCCAAGAAGTTGGTTAAAAAAAACAAGAAACAGCGATATCTGCATTGCTGGAAAGCTCTCACCGTAACGGTGGTGGTTCTGATCACAACCGACTGCGATAGGAGTTTTATCAATAGATGCATTTGGCTCCAAAGACAAGTGCCTCTCACTTTAGAAAACGAGGAGCGTGTCAAATTGAGGGCTTCGCTAGCGTGGCCCCAGGGATGGCGACTGACCAGTGTGGCGGTGTCCCCGCGTTCCTCCCACCCGTTCCCTTTGCTGACTTGGTGGTGGCGCCTTCCTCCAGCTGTGGCGGCTGTGGGCCGGGGTGCAGACGAGGTCGTGTTCATGGGGGTGAGGACTTCTCGTCCTCTCGCACATCCCCTCAGATACGGGGGTGGAGGCCTGGGGGGGGGCGTCACGGCTGTGCGTGTGGACGGTGATAGAGTCACTAGTAGAAGTAAGACAAGCATGGATTGTTTTGCACGCGCACCTGTCCGCCTGCTCTGCCCGCCCTGCACCTCACTCACCTCGCCATCGAGAACTGGCAGGCGGCCTGGGGCTGGGGGTCAGCTCTGAGGGGAGCGCGGCCGTGGGAGCACGTTTGTTCTCGAGGAAGGAGGAGGGGCGTCTGCTCCCCGCAGCGTCCCCGTGAGGATGACACACATGTTCCGTGTTCTGTCAGCAACCACGGTCTCGGACGCTCACTCCGTCCTGATGCCGTGTCAGGTGTGGGTTCACCTGAGACACCCGCCTGCAGGGGAGGCGGGCTCAGTGTCTGGGGGCCAGCGTCGGCGTTGCCGTGGCGTTGCCGTGTTCCCCTGTCCCCGGGGTTCCCATCGGGGAGCCTGGAGAGCACACTTGGCCCAGGTCTGTTTGCTGGCGGAACCTCCTAGAAGGGCAGCGCTGGGCGAGGGTCTCCCCGGGGCGGGGCAGGCACTGCGGGTGGAGAGAGCAGCGGAGGGAGGGAGGGAGGCGCCGGTGCAGGGGGACGCGGGCCTCAGCCACGCTGTTATGTTTCAGACCCTCATCTTTCATTACACATCACGCGTGACGCCGTATGATGGGAACAATGGGAGCAGCAGGCGTGGGGTTGCAGGCCCACGTGCTCTCTGAGTGGCGCCTGCAGGCCCCTGTGCATTGCCCTGCGTTCTGAAGGCAGCAGGAGGGACACGCTTTATGTTTGTCTTATTTCAATGTACGCGAGGTGGATGCTGCTTA